TTGACTGTGGTCCCAGAAAAATAAGAGTAATGTAGAAATAAGCTCAAAGTTTTGTCAAAAAAAAGTTTGGCTACGTTTTTTTCACGAAATGCAGATGTGGTCTGGTCATGGCCATGGCTGATATCAATTGGACTCGATCTAATAATAATAATGGCTGAGTGGACCCCATACCGGCAATTCAACCAAGACCAAAGTCTGACATCAAGTCGTCTTTTCCATTCATATTTTATCCTCCTCTTCAAGACAAGTTTTTTTCTTTTCTTTTATACAAAATGCAGCTCTCTCTCTCTGTTTTCAATCACGAGAAAATTATGGTGGCGACGGTGAGGACGATGAGTAAAAAAACGTGTCGGCATTATGTTATTATGTGAGTGCTGGACAAAAAGATTGCTCAGTGCGAATTTTCTAATTATGTTCGCAGAGGGGATAACTAATCGCATATTGTTAAGAAGGAGATTGAGTATAGTATAAAATTGCAATGCGCAACAACAGAATCTTCTAGAAAATGGACACTTCTTTTCGCATTAACTGTTCCGTCTCAAATCTGTTAACCATGTTATATGTTGACATTTAGATTACGATTTCAAGTAAAAGTTGACCTTAGAGCAGATATTAAGAGTGCACCGAGAAGAAGATGATAACACTACGTTTATGTCATACGAGTGAACGCCAACTTGTCATCGCAGAGAAGGACAATTGGTCATGCAAAGGATTCTAAGGCAGACAGGTCAGAAAATTTAAATGTGTGTAAGCGCCGACAAGATGAGATGGGAGCCTCACGCCTAACTAATCTCGAGAAAGACAACGACCATGCAGTGCCGATGCAAAGTCCTCATGCACTTGGAGAGCGAAGGATACTGAGAAACTCGTATCTTTCTTGGACTTGGATCAAATCATCCCATGACAAGTCCCAAATCGCTTAAGTTATTCAGAGTCGTCTTCAAGTTAATGTGCATACGTAAGCTAAGAAACTTGTATGCACATACATAAGCGTCCATGCATTCACCAATGTCGACTTGAAATACAAGAATTTCTTAAATCTGTCAAAACATGTTGCACTTTTTGCCCCGTTATATGGATAAATATGCTTTGAAAAAAGTGGTTAATGGATGCAAACCTCTCCCCTGCACTGCCTCATCTTAAAATTAACAAGAACCGAAGCCAACCAAGCTGCCTTGAAGCTGAAACTTGTCTCCCGCATAACTAAAGATGACGACGAGGGACCGAATAACTAACCAAGTTCATCCTAACTTTGACATCGGGATGGAACAGGATGAGAGAATTGTAGCAAGAGGAACAAGACGAAGGGAAGAAGTGAAACTGAACTGTAATGTCGAGACCTGTTTCACTTCACTTGCGTTTCTTTAAGTTGCCAGCTTAAACTTAGGAGGGGAGCTTCACCACCTGCCCCTCTCAGATCTAGATGTGCTTTGGATATGTGGTAGGGTCCCATGAGTGTACTAAAACCCTAAAGTGGTTTGACTCCATGGCCACAGTTACGCCCGCCACACCCACTCAAAGGCGCCAAAAACACGAAAAAAGCCCTGTGTTCACTTGTTCAAACCCTAGCCAAAAATCCAATTTTGCTCGGATTTTGGTCAAATTTACATTTTTGTGATCCCAGATACTTGCTTGATCATATCCAGTAGCAATCTCAACTTTTTTGAAATTTTGAATTTTTTCGAATAATTCATCAGCCCGAAAATGCCCGAAAATTTCGAAAATTTCAAAAAAGTTGAGATTGCTACTGGATATGATCAAGCAAGTATCTGGGATTACAAAAATGTAAATTTTATCAAAATCCAATCAAAATTGGATTTTTGGTGGATTTTTGAATTTGGTAACTTTTGTGGTTTTCATTCCTTTGAGTGGGTGTGGCGGGCGCAAATGTGCCCATGGAGTCAAACCACTTCAGGGTTATAGTACACTCATGGGACCCTACCACATATCCAAAGCACATCAAGATCTGAGAGGGGCAGGTGGTGAAGCTCTCCTCCTTAGTCCTCCTCCTTCTCCTCACGCCATGCAGAGCAGAACCAGCTCCTCAGTTAATCCAATTACTCGACTGCTGCAATTTTACCATCAAGTTAAGTTTGCGTTTCCAGCAGAAGCAGGAGTCAGAGTCAGACAGCTCTCTCTCATCCTGACTTAAGACAAGAACAACTGATGACAAGGACCGAATCTCCTAAGTCACTTCGAGACTTGAACTTTGTTCAATTTGGTAAAAAGTGGTGGTGAGAAGACCACTTGACTCTCTTTTCCTTCTTTTTTGTCTCATGACGAAGGAAGGAATACTTTCCAATCTTATCAAAATAACTAAAATGAAGACGATCGTTAAGCCTTTGAAGGAGAACACGAGATCATGAGCTGTCTACGCAGTGCTGCCCTGATTGCATAATTGATGAAACCGCATGTCATTCGTTATCCATAATGTTGTTGACGACTCTTCCTCCTCTTCGCCTCCTAATAAAATCAAAGTTAAATTCCACTCCTTTTCTTCTTCTATTTGCTTAGGATTATAAGGAAATAAGTCGTAAGTGAAATTAATGAAACAAAGAAAGTTGTTGGGAAGCCAGCAGTCGTGGTCCCTTCCCACTCAAAAAATTAACAATAGGACCTTTTGTGATGGAGAACGTCTTCACTTTTATTATGATTTAATAACCGAAACGAATCAAGTCGGGTGATGATTTAGTTTGGTTGTGGCGTGCAATTCTCATCATCTTATTATTCCAAGACTTTTTTTCAACCCATCATCGAGAGGAGTATGTTAAATATAATAATGAAGACATTGAGAACGGATTATGAATGGGTTTCCTTTTTTACCGAGAGACAACAGCAATTCTTTCCGCTGGCAATCAACACTTGAGTTCCACCCTCATACAAAACTTCAAAAGAGAATATATGAGACTGACCATTGCACATTGAAATCCAAATTTAATTATGTACACACATATGTACAGACTTTGTGCGTTGGAGACATAGCCAGTCGCTGTTATTACCACAAGCATTTGAAAGCAAGTATGTACATATGCCCATCATTAATATGGCGTCCAAACCAAACTGAAAAATAAAATTTGAGAAGAATGTTTCCTTTTCATGTTCTCTTCGCGTACATCGCCAACCACCAACTGCTGTGATTACTATAATACTTTGAAATGTGTATTTTTTACGCTTCAAGAAGAAAAGGGAGTATTTTCAGATCGGACATACAATGCTGAACTGGTGAGTATCCACAGTACAGTGAACGGCGTGTATAACTTTCCCTTCCTTCCTGTCTCTGGAACTGTTCGGACGAAGAATGACGATGACGGAGAACATGCATCATCATGAAAACATTCGTTGGAATGAAAGAAGGCAACTCGAGCAGAATAAGCGTTTGGTTAATGGGATCCAATACCCCAAGAATTTAAAGATTTAAGGATTATCCGCATTTAATTTCGTTTAATGCGGGATAAGTAATTTAAATCAGTCCGGGTGTGACTGCTGCTGTGTGTGGGGATTACTTCAGTGATGGCGTTCTTTTCTTGATAAACTCGTTCGCAAAGAAATCAGCAAGTTCTCTCTGCTGGTGGTAAATAGGTTTGAGTTTTTTAAGCAGAATACTCATACCCAATTTAACACGGAGATCATACACATTCAAACTGTGCAGTTGGTGGCTGGAGGACATGAAATTTAACAACTTGCACGAACTGAATAGATGACAACTTACACACTACTGCATTTATTCCTCTGCAGTCTGCCAACTATGTAGTAAGTACTCGTAGTAGTGGAAAAGTGCATTAAGTCACAGCTTGAATGAAATGAAGTCGACGAAATACACAGGAAAACTTTCAAGTCTTAAATATTACCAAAAAAAGAACAAGTTGAAAATACTACGTTGTTGCACTGCACTCACAACTGCATCCGAGAGAGATCCACATCTTTTCTTATTAATACTCTGAAAATGTTTTCAGCTTGGTCACCCCTAAAAATCTCTCCGCCCGTTCTTCATAGTTTCGAGTTGAACTTTGTCCATTTCCTCTCCTTCGAGTCGTGCTCTCAAGAATAATGTAGCGCAACCAATTGTACAATTAACTATAAAACTTGGATCTGTATTGTTGTACTGAGCCTAAAAATAAGAACTTTCATTGTCTGCTCTCTCTCTCTCCATCTGCAGAATGTATCGTCAAAGTAATTTTGCCAAAAGTGGATAGAGATGAATTTTTGGGGAAGTTTTTGGTACCCTCGTCGATCTGACATAATGTAAAAATGCATATTTCATCAAGATTCTGGTGAAGCTGGAAGAGAGCGGAGAAAAATTAAAATCTTGATTCTCGACCCTACAGCGATTCTTTCTTGATCCTCATCAGCAGCAAGTAGAGTATGCATGCATACATATTTACAAATATATGGCACGGTTCTCGTGAATCTATTGCCCATAATATCTGGTTCTTTCTGTGTATTTTCTCAAGTAAACGAAATTTAATTATCTGACAGGTGAACCTCAGGAAATTTATTTCCTTCAATAACATGGTGCGTTTTATATATATCCAGCCAAGTATCTTCACCCAAGAATCTCTCCGAAGGCCCAACCCTTTAGCCTTAGGTTGTAAATTGTAGTAGTAACCACCATCTCCTTCACTATGGGAGGAAGAAGATGAATATTGCTTGCCCTGCAATGAGATGATGACCAAAAATTTGGTTTGGATTTCAGGTCCACACAAAACACCATTTCCATTTCTCTCTCTAAATGTTCAAAACTTTTGTGTAAAGTAATAAAATTCTTAAACGTCGAATTTGGAACCAACCTCAAACAACAACCACTATCATCATCATCATCAACACCAACCAACCACAACCATACACCATCAAATCTTCCCAAGGTCTGGAATAGAATGGAATGAAATGAAGAATGCGGAAGAAGAAAAAGAAGAAGATAACAGTACTCGAATCTTGTACCACCAAATTTATCAGAAACCTGGAAAAAAGGAGAGTTAAAAATGGGAAGGAATACAACGAACCTGGACATGAATCTTGGTGGGTTTCAGAGGTGGAGAGCTGTAGCCGGAATTGTCCTCAAAATTGTTGTTGTTGTTGTTGACCTCAGGCCACCAGTGGATTGGGAGTGTTAACTCAGCCAAGCATGTAGAATCTCTTGAATCCGGAGTGCAACTTGAGGTCACAACATCGCCCGGGCCCTTCGTAGCTGAAGCCACAAGGCAGAGACGAGTCCGGTGACGTCGACTCCCAGCATTTCCGCTCTGTTAAAAATAAAGGGACACATAAAAAAACATGTTGGGAACAATTAACATACAATAGACTGATTATTATTATTATTATTTTCATGCATTTTCATCCTCATGCAACTCTCTCCCCCACCTCTAGAATTATTCTTGAGGTGTTATGGAACGAGTATGTACATATCCTGAGAATTTTCCATTTTGCTTTATTGTATACTTTTCTAATGTTCGATTCAAGTATTTTTCCTAAACGCACAATTGTTCATTGCTTCTATACATACACAAGTGCACTTAAAGATTTTCTTCAGCCCTGGGATTCATCTTGTTGTACTATGGCCTGGCGCATTCAAGTCAATAACAGACGTTGGACGGGACGTTAGACGGGGAAATAGAGAGGAAAGCAAGCTCAGCGATTTATCTAACCTCCGGATCTTGTACATGTTTAAAAACCTTTTGTTGAAAGGGAGGATAGTATTACACAAAGTAAAAGGTTGGACAAGTTTTAAGTGAAGTGTTCAAAGGTGGCTGGATGGAAAAGCAGCAAGGGATGTGGAACTGTGGGCTAAAGATACAATTTGAAGACGTAAATACTTGTATAGGATGGGATTTGGAGCACACGGGGTAGCACAGGCAGGAGAATAAAAGAGACTTTATTTATCCCATTGTCAACTTTTCTCGCGTTACACTAAAAGAAATCCTACTTCAAGGTTTAACTCCGTCGGTCGCTTCACCAGAACTTTCTGCTAGTTAATTGTGTACTGGGTTCTCCCGGTAGAGACGAATTTCTCGATTTCTCTAGTGAAATGAAATGATATAAAACCTGAAATTAGAAATTGAGAAAACAAACTCCAATCATCTTCTTCCCATTATTCTCGCAACAAGATGCCCTTCCGTCGAACGTTTCAATTCATCTTCGTGGTCCATTTCTCAACCAGATAATATCACAAACAAGTTTACTAATTGAATTTATGAAGGAACAACAACTAACTAGGACTGGGGAGAACAATGGTCTTTATATCCAGCTTCGTCTCCTGAATATTACACTGTTCTTGTCATCCTCGTCGGCTCAAAGTGAAAATAGATAGAGTGTGCCCATGACAAATGTATTAATTACGTACATACGCTCTCCCCACAAGAGTTTGCATGGCGTCTGTCAGTTGACTAACTACAGTATTGCCCTGCTACTAAATCAAAGTCCATGCATAAAACGTATCCACGAAAGATGAGAGAAAGGGTCCTGGTTACATTTGTTCTTTTCATTTCAATTATTTCTTGGCCAACAATAGGTTCAAAAACAAAACTACGACTCTCTGCAAGGAGTACAAAGGAAAATAAGAATACACAAGATCAGGTAAAGTAGGTAGCACTGCAGGAAGGAGTTTAAAACACATCACACCTGGTAACTCAAACCCTGAGCGTTGGGGAAGACACAAGGTACTTAAAATCAACGTCGCTCTCAACCCTAAATTACAATGCGAGATGTATCTCCAGGGAACAAAAGGACTTATGCATTCTTATTACTGCTCCTCCACCTACTCCTACTTGAGATCTTCTTATTACCAGCTAAAAACAGGTAAGTTTAGATTTGTGGAACATTCATGGATTCTGCCTTGGTAGCGATGCATATGAAACTTGAGTATGTGTAAACTTGAGGTGCATTTTAGATACTCGTCCATCGTGCATCTTTCCCAATATTTTAAGTATCTTGCCCAGTGAGTCGAGAGATGAGAAAACTCGATGCAAATCAATACATAAGGTGGTTAGACGAGCAATAAAAAATTCAAGATTGGAAATAAAGCGCACCTGCTGCCTCGTGCCCCTGGAAGGATTTTGTGGCGTAATGGGGAGTCCAAAAGCCGTCTGCCCAGCATGGAAGAGAACTCTCAGTATGGGTGTGTCCTTTGGAACCGTGGGTGTGACTATGTGAGCACTCAAATCCAGCGGGGGCATCATTTCCGGTTCGCCACCCCCGTAACTTCCGTTGCTGCCCATCCCTCCTCCGTCTAGAGGATCTGGGACGAGAAGGCGGATGGGTACGGTTTGCTTCGTGCTGAAGGGTCCGTACATCACCCGGATTGAGACAGGTTGGCTGGAAGGGAGGACTGTGAAATGCTCAGTCTTGAGAACAGCCGGGTCTGGACCCCCATATTCCGAGTCCGTGGGGGAAAAGTCTTCCGAGGATGATGCAGAGGATGTCGCTGAAGTTGACGTGGATCCAGCTTGTGGGGAGCGGAGGAAAAATCCGCCATCCTTCGGTTCGAAGTGCATCTCCACGGCGGAAACATGACGGAGATGGAGTGTGAAACCTAGATTTAAGAGAAATTCAATAAATACATTAGTCTTTACTACTTCACAATAATATATACGAGGCAATTAATCAAAAGTGCATGAGCCAGTTGTAAATCTCGGTGTCAATTTATTCAAACAATGAAAAAATAGAGGCCACCCGGATGCTGATTTTATACTCGTCGCCCTCGTCATCATCATCGTTGTAAGAGATGCTCCTCATTTTCACCTCGTGTGTCTCTTACTCAGCAAAAAATCTCTCCAATGCATTCTCTAGAGTCCTTCTTTTAGTTACTTGGCCACAGATCTTCTACATACTGCCAGAGAACACGGTAGTAGAAGATCTCTAGAAATGCACCATTACCTGTGGATGTGTAAACATTCATCATTCCTCGTTTAGCTTGCTACTGCGGGATGGATGGGCGGATGATGTTATGTGTACTTTGGTGAAATGGGATACTACTCAATCAATTCTGCTGCCTTTTGTACCCATAAAAATCTAATACCTTTTCACTACATCACTGTGACCTCGGAGGGCACGTTAGGTATCCGAATATTTCAGAGTCTGGTTATATTCAATAGATGGATGATGTTGGTTTTGTACCTGCTCTACCAATATAGTCACTCGCTGTAGCACTTCTTTCTTCTTGTCTCATAAAGAGCCTTTTATTTGGAGTTTGTGAAAAGACCAAGATTGATGGGAATCAAATGACCCATTTTTTTCCGATTCATGGACCAAAATCTTTTATGTAAGAGAGAGAGAAAGCCCATACATCTACGAGACTGTAAACATGCACATTTGGTGGGCAGTAAGAGGTGCATACATTTAGTAAATAATATGTAAAAGGGTTGCCTTTCGAATGAGTTAGCGAATTCCATCACAATCACCTTCGATTGTGCCGGACTTGTAAAGCAAGCCTACCTTATTCATAGCTGTACATACATTGATTCTCCATAAAACCGGTTCACACTACATATTTGAGTAGTTGCCTACTCCGAGGCATGCAAAGTTGTTGCCCGGAAATGTTGCTAAATATTTAGCTTGTTGGAACCATGAAAAATCGCTCTCCCCGGAAGACTTGTTATTGAGCAGATACATCAATTTATTAATATCCCAACAGCACAGATAAATCCATATTCCTATTCCCTTGCCTGGGACTACGAATTTATTCCCTTGCTCCCAATGTTTGACTCTCTTACTACTTAGCAAACCAGACATAATGATATGCAACCAGTTCACAGCTAAGTTCTAAAAACACGAAATGAATGTTGTAAAGTATAAAACAAAGAGCAACCCATTATGAAAGGTATGCAAGCCTCAACTCGCTTATTCTTTCTTTCTTTGCGAGTTAGTATTTTATTTGCCTCCATTAAACAACAAAACCAAAGAGAGCTTTGCATCCTCCGTCAAATTAGAAAATCTCGACGCAAGAAAAGCAAATACGCTGCTGGATATAGAGATATGTGCATTGCTCAACCACCAATATCTACATGGTACACCAAGCAGAAAAATAAAAGTTGAGCACACAAAAGTGCGTGTTCACATAATTAATGCGTATTGAACACAATGCATCACAACTTTAAATATCATAAATCTCATCTAATTGAACAATTCAATTCGAGCAGCGTGCGAGGAGGTTTCTTTCTTCAGCCAAAAAACAAATGCCGAAATTTTCTTGAAACATTTTTTCATGAGACAAGAGCAGCTGTGATGAAACTTTCTATAAGGTAAGTAAATTTTGTATTTGTTCACCCACGAAACATGACATTACTTGGATGGCGTGTGTGGAAGAAAAAGACAGCTTTTTGCTCATTTTTTGCTTTGTTCCAATTCAACGTTGGGAGTTGATGATGAGGTGACAACAAGAAATCCAACACCTAGAACAACCATCCATCCGCTTTGTTTCGTCTTTAGTTTCGATACATTTTTGGAATTGAACCAAAAAGTGTTTTTTTATTTTGTTTAGTTTCTATACCATGTATGCTCTCCAATGGGTATAATTTCTATTCGTTTTTCCTTTCCACGTGGTGTGTACATACATGTTTATACGATATAAATTTAGTAGGTTACAAAATTGAGATGATCTAATTGCCAAGATTTTATATAAGCGCATTATTTATCAAGTTCACCCGTATTGTTTTTTAGTAACGAATATAATCCACGATTTTGTGAACTGCACAAAAAATCTGCCAATTTCAACTCTGTCTTTGAATTGTTTGCATCAGTTCAGGCATAACATTTGCGAAATGACACAGGACAGAAAACAGACATGTTTCAAGTCATTTTGCGAATTCTTGCAGAGCGTGAATTCCTAATGTCTCCCAAGTTGAGATCGGTGACATCTGTGTCAGAGTTTGGACTACATTTTGCCTTAAAATAAATGATTATATACAAAAGAAAATGTGTCGTTTGTGTGACTTTGTTTCGCGTCATTAGTTTTTATTAAAACTGCAGGGTTTATATTTAAAGATGGGCAAAAATATAGACGTGAAGAAAGCACCCTCCATCTCTACATTCTTTCTTTTCATATGGCAGAAAAGTTATTATTTACCTCAGCAGTGGGACATGGTACATGGAGTCGTAGTGTGTAGCTATGTACATATAGTGTCAGTCGCCCTAAGCCATGAGGTCGTAGGTATGAGAGATCCAAATATGCAGAGTGGGAGACGTTTCCCATTTAGAGAAGAAATGACCAGATTACTTTGCATACAAAGTGCGAAATGAGATTAACTTGCTCGTCCTCTCGTCTGGAGAAAGTAACTAAACGTTGCTGAAATTTTCGAGTGTCTTAGAACAAAGGCCAACGTGTGGCTGCACAGGACAGGCAAACTAGGAAAAGCTCTACATTTTGGAAAGTATGAGTGCCAAAGGCTACAATGCATGCATGACAAGTTCAATGAGGGTGCGTACTCCGTGTCACTTGTTATAGTAGTGTGAGAAGTGAAATAGTGTTGTTGAATAGAGGTGTGCAGATCCTAAAATCTGAAAGGTAGACCCAGCCCAAGCCCATCGAGCTGGACTTTTTTCAAGCTCATGCAGTCCCCTTTACTTGCATCGGAGTGTTTAGAATTAGAAAGTGAAATAGAAAGAGAATTAGAAAGTGCGAAAAATGCTTCAAAAAGTATTAATAAATCAATTAAAATGTATATGTTCAAGATGGAGTTGCCAATCGGGTTTGTCTGAACTTTAAGTAAAAGCTACATACACTGAAAAGCCCGGCACAAAACAGATCGGGCCTGACTTTTTAGTGTTCAGCCCGGTGCGGTGCACACCTCTGTTATGGATTCCCATTATTATGATGTTTATAAGATGCTTAAGCAAACTGCCAGCAAATCTCATCGTACACCATTTCCCTACATATAGTCCACTCAACCATGGTCCAGTGGATATGTGCGGAAGTCGGAGATAACCATAATTACAAAGAGAGATGTAGTAGCGTAGTAATGGCATTCTTGTACTTCTCCTCAGTTTACGTGAGAAGGTCCAAGTTTTAAAGAGCATTTGATTTAAAAGACATTGTTACAAGATTATGACATGGCAAATGTTTTCGAGGAATGGGAAAACCTTGGTGTGCACATTTCTACCACGATTATTCAAATATCTAGCCAGTAAGGAACTGAACTGTGCATATTCGTATGCTAAAGCCTCCACGAACCCAGAACTAGAAGGAAAGACACACGAATGACCAGGTTTTGCCTGGAAGGAACTTATGTCACTACTTCATTGGATTTCGAAATTGTGCCGAAACTTCCTCTGCAAATATAACCGACAAAGTAAAGGTTCGCCCCAATTAGACAACCGACAGGAGTTGAAATGCAAATTGATTTATGGATGAAAATACTTGCTTTGAGAACAAGGAAATTCAGAGTGCGAGCAGCTGGCGAAATCGCATTTTCCCAGCAAAATGGATTACACATCCGCTTTCTCCACCAAAGTGGAAAGGAAACCCACCACCTTCGTATGTCCTGGTATTATTGGGCGGAGGATAAAAACGGCGTCTCTCCTTGATTTGTTTGTGTTGGAACGAGGCATGATAATTTTGTAATCAAAAGAGAATTTTTTCCAAGCAAGGCTTGCTACATATATAACAGAAAATCCGTTTTTTGGTACGGGTATATGCACAGCAATGGTGTATTTATGCAAGTCCTATAGGCACATGCAAAACATAATGCTACGAAAACTATGTAGGATTTCGGCTTTTGTAACCCAGACTTGTCAACACTGTTAAATGTTATTTATTGCTGCGATACGGAAGGATGCAACCAACCGTACCATATAAACTTGTGTCTTCTTATTATTCCTTCAATTCCATGATATCCTTTTCCCGACTCGCTCATCTATCTCGCTTTGACGTAAAATGATACTTATTTTATACAGGACTTTCATTCCGCCCATGGATGCAGTATCAGCATCGGCCAGAAACAACACACAAAGAGATTCCTCCTCCTATATCCATCCATCCAAAAACTAACCACGGTTGGTTCGGGATTCCTTTCTCCTTTCATTATTTCAACTTGTAAAATTAATGAAACGAAATGAAATCAGTTTCAATTCCAGCTTTCACCGAATTTCCTTCTGCATTCCTTTCCCTGCCTCCGCCCCCGTTAGCTTTCTCGCACTCCAGTACAAATATTATTATTATTATGGCAATAATCCACAAGAAAGGGAACAAATAGAAACTGTTCAATCCAAAGTTTATACCCTTTATTCCCCAAGACAAACATAGTTACGAATGTTGAGTCGTCGTTAATTTGGACGTGTGAACTATAAAAGCGACTACAAGACCTAAACATTCAGACCTATCCAACCCAACGCACACAAAACTTTACAAATGATGTGCAGACAGCTTGCTAAACAAGCAACTCAACTTATTTATGAAGGTTTCACTCCAAATGAGCTCGAAAAGTGATGTAAATGTACAATATGTAAAAGGCATTGATCATCACAAGCGCAAAATCTATATAGAAGATAGCGATGCCGTATACACGACATGGTCTCGCCGGGAGTGCATGATGCATA